TACTCCGACACATTAATGGAGCTAGCCTATCCAAACATCGCATCCTCCCACATCATTTAAATTGTAGCTGTTGTTAATAGTCCCATAATCAACACTTCCCAAAACTGTTCTCCCATTAGTCCACTAATCCTGATATTTCAAATTCTTGTATGTCTTAAACCTCTTGCCTTTGGGCTATAGTTCCTTATAGGTCATTGGTCTAACAACTTGTTTTAAGTCACTTCTCCAGTTGCCACCACTGATCTGTGCTTTACTTTTCACTCCTCCTCTAGTCTCAGCGCAAACCACAACTCTGAATAAGACATTCCTAACCCCAGGCCTGAGGGATCTCCTACTCCGCTCAGGTGCATCCTACAAGCGAGCCTACTCTGGTCCTACCCTGACCTTTACTAATGGGTTCCAGCACTGGGATGTTTTATGTTCTCCCTTCTACTACGATCATTCAAACTAAATTTGTTGTTTCCTTGAGTCTTAAACCTTAATTTCTTTAGTCTTTGCTAAAAAGTAACTTACTGAGGCAAATTCAAATGATTTTAAAGTGAACAACAATTCAGTGGCATTAGTATATTCAGAATGTTGACAGCCATCAATTCTGTTTAGTTCTAAAACATTTCCACCAGTCCCATGTATGATCCCTTACATATTAAACCGTTTCTTACCTTTTCCCCACCCCCCCACCCCCACCTTCTGGCAATCACCAACCTGCATTGTCTCTATAGATTTATCTATTCTGGGTATTTCACATAAATGGAATCATACAATATGTGATCTTTAGATCTTTTGTGTCTGCCTTACTTCAAGGTTTTGGAGGTTCACCCATATCACAACATGTATCAGTACTTCACTCCTTTTCATGGCTGCACGGTATTTCATCATGCTTTTTTATCCATTCTTCCATTAATGGACATTTGGGCTGTGTCCATTCTTTTGTGAACGTTACTACAAAGGTACTACATATTTGTTTGAATACTAATTTTCCATTCTTTTGGGTATACATCTAAGAGATGAATTATGGATCATATGTAATTTTATGTGGGTCATATGGTAACTCTATGTTTAACTTTTTGAGGAATCACAAAACTGTTATCCACAGCAGCTGACCCTTTTATATTTCCACTAACAATGTACAAGGGTTCCAATTTCTCTACCAATTTGCCAACACTTATTTTCTGTTTGGCTTTTTTTAATTAGGGCCATGTTAGTAAATGTGAATTGGCACCTCATTGTGGTTGATATGCATTTCCCTAAAGACGAAATATGTTGGGTGCCCTCATGCTTTTTGTCCACTTGTATATCTTCTTTGGTGAAAGGTCTATTCAAGTCCTTTGCTCATTTTTAAATTGGGTTGTTTGTCTTTTTGTTGAGTTGTAAGAGTTCTTTATATATTCTGGATGCTAAATCCTTGTCAAATACATGATTTGCAAATATTTTCTACCATTCTGTAGCCTGCCTTTTCATTTTCTTGATAATGTCCTTTAATGGCAAAAGGTTTTAATTTTGATGAAGTCTAATTTAACCATTTTTTCCCTTCATTGCTCACGCTTTGGCTGTCAGAGCTCACATCTAAGAATCCATTGTCAACACCGACTTCATGAAGATTTACACCCATGTGTTCTTTTAAGGGTTTTTTTGTTTTGTTTTTGTGTTAAAACCATAAAATCTCTGTTTAGATCACTGTTCATTTTGAGTTTATTTTCATATACAATGTGTAGTAGAAGTACAAGTTCATTCTTTTGCATGAGGATATCTCGTTTCCCTACCACTATTTGTTAGAGTATTCTTTCTTCATCAAATGGTCTTGACACCCTTATCAAAAAACAATTGGCCTATTATTTATATACCTTTGTATACACAGTTAAATGTGTATATGTCATTTGTCATTATCATACAATGCATTTACATCAAAATTTTTTATGAATTATTTTGCGAAATAAAATTCTTTATTAATTAAAAAAAATCAATTGGCCTCCCTGACTGATGTGGCTCAGTGATTTGGCCATCTTCCCACAAGCCAAAAGGTCACAAGTTTGATTCCTGGTCAGGGCACATGCCTGGGTTGCAGACAAGGTTGCTGGTTGGGGGCAAACAAGAGGCAACTGATCACACATCGATGTTTCCTTCTCTTTCCCCCCTCCCTTCTAGTCTCTCTAAAAAACATATAAATAAATTTAAAATATTTTTAAAAAAATCAAGTGGCCATAAATGTATGGGTTTATTCCTGGACTCTCAATTTCTATTCTATAGGTCTTTTTTTTTATTCTATATGTCTATTCTATCCTATATGTCTGAATAAATGGATCATATATAAAACTAGCAAAGTCTATATGTCTATCATCAAACTATCAGTTTTGATTACTCTAGCTTTGAAGTAAGTTTTAAAATCAGGAAGTGTGAGTCCCCCAACGGCATTCTTTTTCAAGATTATTTTCAACACTGAGAACTCCTTGAAATTCCACTTCTGCAGAACACTGTTGAATTTTGATAGGGCTGACAAAATCGAATCTGTAGATCATATTGGATAGTGCTGACATGTTAACACTACTAAGTCTTCCAATCTGTGAGTGTGGGATAGCTTTCCATTTATTTATGTCTTGTTTAATTTCTTTCAACATGATGATGTTGAATATTCTTTCAGTTTTGATGATGAATGAATCAATCATCAATATATACTTTTCAGTGTATAGGTCTTTCATCTTAAATTAGTTCAAGGTACTTTATTCTTTTAGATGCTACCGTGAATGGAACTGTTTTCTTAATTTTCTTTTCCAATTGTTCATTGCTACTACATCTTTTTACTTTTAACCTACCAAAGTCTTTGTATATAAAATGAGCTTCTTATAGACAGGTCTTGTCTTTAAAAAAAAAAAATTATTTATTTTTAGAGAGGGGAAGGGAAGGGGAAAGAGAGGATGAGAAATACTGATGTGAGAGAGCAACATCGATCAGTTACCTCTCATATGTACCCTGATTGGGGGACTTTGTCTGAAACCCAGGCATCTGCCCTGACTGGGAACTGAACTGGTGACCTTTCACTCTGTAGGATGATACACAACCCATTGCACCAAAGCAACCAGGGAAGGTGTTTTTTTTTTTAAATCATATCTTTTAATTGGTATGTTTAGAATACTTGCATTTAATGTAACAATTGATATAGTTGAATTAAAACCTATAATCTTGCAAGTTTTCTATTTGATTTATTCATTGTTCCTTTTTTCTTTATTTTCTGCCTGGTTAAATGGTTATTTTTAAGTGACTCCATTTTACCTCTGCTATTTGCTATTTATTTAGACATCTTTTTAAAACAATTTTTTAAAGTTTCCCTAGAGTTATTTTCTAATATCCTTCAAAAGCAATCATATTTCTATGATCATTTTGTAAAGTCCATGAATATGTACTTTGCTTTAAAATTGGAAATTTTACTAAGGCTCTGTTACTTTTACCTATTTTGTGCATCTCTGCTTTATATATGTTTTACAGTTTATTCTAAAGGAGAATGTCTGCTTAGTAAGAAAAAACTGGAAACAAAATTGCAGTAGGAATTTGCTTTCTTCTCAGTATATCTTAGCTTCACACTGCGGGTCTATCTTGTCCTTGGGAGAAAAACACAAAGACTCTTTTTGTTACACTTAATTTCCAAAAGCTTCAGTTTATTCTGGCTGTTTTTGTTTACCCACTTAACTTTTTCAGTATAAACTAACATTCTATATTTTTTATACATTATCTACATATTTGGATATGTACATAGCCAATGTTGGAAATCCATTGTTGGAAAACAATGGAAAAAGACTAATAATTCATGATTCTAATATATATGGCTGTAACTTATGCTTAATGCAAATATAATACTTATTATCTATCCTTATAACAAAATCACATTGCACTGATAACTCAGTTCAGCTTAATTGCTTACATTACCCCCAAATTTGCTTTTTCTATTTTTATACTTCTATATTATTGACATTTCATACAAAGGCAGAGTAAAATATTTGAGTTCCTATCTTTCAAATATTCTTTACTACTCTCCTATTCATTTTTCTTAACCATCTTAAAAAATATAATAGAAAATAATTAATTGATTTTTTTCAACTTTGATTTTTTTTTTCTTTTCATTTCTAGTTTTCCAGATGATGCTGTTTCTTAATTTTATGGAATAAAAGTAATGTCCACTTTGAAATCATTCTGTTTGCTTCTCAATCTGTACAGAGTTGTAGGTTTAACAACTTTTTCCTGCCTACCCTGTTACAATCTAACTCCTTCCTACTTGAAAACCAAAAACTGAAACAAGAAATACCTTTTCAAATATTTAAAGGTGACTTTTCTTTTTAGCACTCATATTCTTGATTAAGATCACAATAGTCTGAATTTGCCAATGGAAAACAGTATCTACATGGCAAAAGACACCTCAGGATAGCTGTACAATAAGTATTTGTTCAGTACCCTACGTTAGGTAACATAACTTTTGTAAGTTCATTCTTTTGCATTTTAACAACTTCTCTACTTTTGAAAAAAATGTAAGCATATACCTTAATCCATAATTTAATGTTTTAAGGTAGGAAGTTAAGCCTATAGTATTTCATAAGACATAAATCATCACATATCCAAAGTTTTAAATGAGATAATTACATATATACTACATTGGATAATATTTCGTCAGCACCATTAACAAAAACTAGCTGAAGTTATGATTTAAAAATTACCCGTGGAAAAATACCTATTATGAAATAGATTTCTAAAACCTGAAAAGCAGGACTGACATACATCGCTTATTTTCTATGACTGAGAACATAATGAAACTATATAGACAGAAAAAAATATTAGAAGGGGGAGTCTTTAGGCCACAATAAGACTACTAAGTATTATGGAACATAAATATGATTAAGAATTTAATTAAAATAGAAAACAAAATTATTTATAAAAAGAGCACAGAAGTTGTGCTTTATAAAAAGGTTTAAAGGAAAGGGGATGAGAAAGGTGAGAGAAAGTACTACCAGACTCCTTACCCATTGCTGTTGGTGCTGGAGCTTCCTGATGGTATTCTCAGCCTGCTCCAGTTTAGCACTGGCCTCATCACTCTGCTGTTTGATGGTGGCCAGTTCCCGTTTTATGAGGTAGTTTTCCTCAGCCTCCTGGGCTCTTGTCACTTGTCCCTTAGGACATAATTTTTGTGTGTGTAAAGCAACTTAGGATAGAGTCAAGAAAGACTGCCTTTGTGAGGTTTAGTTATTTACTTTCTCCTATTTTTAAAAAATCACCTCAGAGAGCAGAACAGCCTAAGCAATTGTTAGCCAGCAGCTCATTATTGCTCCATAAATTTGGGGGAACTAAATGAAAAATTCATCTGACAAGAACAATTCTTCTTTTAGTCAATAAAAATTCAATTCATGCAATATTGTTGAATTGTACATGCAAAACTAAAATTTCAATGAATAAGTAGTTAATTTCACAGAATCCACCGATTGCCATTCTGCAATACTTTAAAATAAGGTTAGCTTTAAAACGTGCAAAAGGTGCTAATTTTAATCAGCCACAATAACACCCTGTTATCAAAAATAAATTTACACCCATATATACCACCCAAAAAATTATTTCTGGGAAAATGCATGTAAAATTGCATGCATTAAAATACAAATTTCTACATTTAAGACTTTTCTTAGAAGTTAGAGAAAATGCTTAAAAAAAAAAAAACTATACCTGTATCAATCTATCTGCCAAGGAAGCACTTTCCTACAAAAGGAAAAATTCAGATAGAAATGTAAGAGAAAGAAATAAAATAAAGATGGTAAAATTAGGAATAAAAAGAAACAAAGCATACCCAAATTCCACCTACTTTTCATGTAATTAAAAAGACATGTAGATTTTAAAACTATTTTTACTAAATGTGTTTTTATTCTTAAACCTTGAAGAAATATATATATATATTAAAATAAGAATAGACTGTAGAAAATCACGTCCTTCTAGAAAAGACAAACATAAATTCAAGGAGGTTTTTTATTATTTGGGACAAGCAAATATCTTCTTTGTTAAGACCAGTTTTAAATCTTTATTTTTAGGGTCAACCATGTTGTCCAACTGCTTACCGGTATATGAAAGGGAGAAGGAATTTGAGTAAGCAATTCCACTTACAAAGTATGACAGTAATTTTTGCAAACCCCAACTTCCAAAGACATAAAGCAAGAAAAATATTACAAATGAAACTAATTAGCTCAACCTTCATACTCTCTAGCAAAACTAAGTAAACTTTTCATTGAAGATTTAATGGATACATATGTATTTACAGAATTCTAAGTGCTAAAGGACACGAGTAGACTATCCAAGCCAGTAAAAAAGGTACTTAGTCTTTAGGATCAAAATCCAAGCTTAACACTTTCTTAACAGCACCTTTATCATTCTGAAAGTTCAATGAAATAGAAATGCTTTCTCTGTGAAAATGTCTCATTTCAAAGATCAAAGACCACCTAAGAAGATGTGTAAATGTAAACTTAGTATTTAGTGAAAAAAGTATATAATTAAAACAATAAAAACAATTAAGCCCAACCTTTTTGCACAGTCACCAAAAAAGTAGAATTATCATCAAATCAATTTTAATAAGATGAAGGAAAATCAGGAAAACTATTTTGGACTTAATATAATAAACCTGTAACTATTATACAACAAAAATAGACATGTAGTAAGCATTCTGGTCCTTGTGTAGCACTATTTCACATAAAACCATCAATACTTTTAATCAAAAGACAAATATGCAAACTATCCATTTTTTATTTATTGCTTTCTTGAATATGCATCTATAGGTTTTCAGGGAAGATTTTAACATACTTTCTCTCATATTTAATTAAATCTTTTTTTAAATTAAATCCAAAACACCAAGAGACTTTGTAAATTCAGATGTTTTTCTTAAAATAAACAAAACTCTTATACTATACTTTTATTACTCAATACATTCTTATAGCATCAGAAACAAGACTATAAAAGACATTATATCAAAAGCATAATATAAGAAAGAGTGCAATATTTCTACATTTTCCCAGTTGTTTTACAGGAAGCATAGAGGGAGAGGTAACAAGTGGTAGCAAAACAATTTTAAGAACCAAAAGTTTAAGCACAATTCCTCTGTGTTGAAAATCACTTTGGATTTTCCAAAAGATTTTGTTTATTTATTTTTAGAGGGGGGAAGGGAGGGAGAAAGAGAGGGAGAGAAACATTGATAGGTTGCCTCTCACATGCCCTCAACTAGGGACCTGGCCTCAACCCAGGCATGTGTCCTGACCGGGAATCAAACTGGTGACCTTTAGGTTCAAAGGCTGGAGCTCAATCCACTGAGCCACACCAGCAGGGCTCATGTTGAATTTTTATATAAGAAATTAGCCACTTTGACTAAACTTAAAGGAATCCCTAGCTAGGCCTAACACGAATCATTGCCACATTTAATGTGTGGCTAGAAAGGGCAATATTTGAAACTCATCTTTAAAATACTATACAGAATAGATTTTCAAGTAAGTTACCTCTAAAGAACATATATTTTAGAAACTATATGTAGAGATTATAATAATAATAATCTTAGTTAAAACTTTATAGTTCAAGAACTAGTGGTGATCAATTATTACTAATGACAAGTCATTTAGTTAAGTAGTAAGATTAGCAGTCAATACCAGAACTTCAGAGTCACATATGCTATTAGATTTCTTGAGCCTTTATATAAAATAGACCAAAAAAAATTCTGTGTATGCATCAGAAGCTTCCATAAGCAGTCATTTACTTACTTTTTCTAATGTTTCAATGCGCTGCTTTAAAAGTCTATTTTCTGTGCGTAACCTCTGGGGGGAAAAAAGAAAAAAGAAACATACAAACAAGAACAAATAAAGGTTTGTTTGCAAGCATTCCTGAGAATAGTAAAATACCTAAATCGTAGTCCTTAAAAATGTACCACCTTTTATAAATAAGAAAGGAGACTAAGGAATGATTATATTATCATCCATCAAATTCTTAAAGGCTCAGAGTAAGAAATACATGGCAAAGAAACTGACGACATTTATTATTCCACCTGTGACTGAATTTTAAATATATGCTAGAGTACACATAGAAATAATCCCTTTCTTTTCTGTACCTATCACAATGGCTCTTAATATCCCCATTAGATAGAAAAGGGTGTAGTTCATTTATCTCCCAAAAAGCCTATCTGCATAAACAGTATTTAAATGTCTATCAAATAAAGAAATTTGGAATACACATGCTCATAGGATAAATATCAAATTATCAGTTATGAATGAGACCAGGCTCCATTTATAATGCATTATATGTGCCAAGTTGCAAAATTCTTTACATTCTGGAAATATAAAGAATGAGTTGTTTTCCTTGAATGAATTGTTCATCATGAGTTGTTTTAAATGTAGGAAAATTAAAAACTCCAATTAATAGCACTTTTCTCATAGTTCAAAAAGTAAAACCAAATTTTAAAACATCTTCACCTAATTGTTCAATGCCTGACTACCCAAACCTTGTCAAATCGCTGCCATCAAGTATTAAATCTAAAACACCCTACGTTAAAAAAAAATTTTTATGCATACATCCCCTATATAATTTCATATTAATCCCCTATATAAATTACTACTTCATTATAGAATCTGCTAAATGTTATCCTGTTTTGCCATCACTCTAATTTCAAAGTTCCCCTTACCTTTTTGTACGAATTTGTTCCACAATTCAATCCAACCTTCTTTAAACCCTACTTTTCCTCAAAGTTCCTGCTAAAAATGTATTCCTCAGAAAATTCTTGTCAATTCAATCTAGTATTTTGCCAGTAAATACTAAAATATAACAAAGTCTCAGACCAAGAAAATAAACGACTCTATGAATTACTCTATCTTATGGACACAATAAGTGGACCACAAATTAAAATAAATAAATCTTACGAGTTACTACAAAGATACTATGCAAATTAAATTTTCTTGTTCTAGTCACTAAAACATATTTAGATTATCTGAAATGTGTGATCTCAGATTACAAAATAGCATGGTGGTCTACACAAGTAAGCAATAGTTAAATTCTGTTAAAGTCTATGAATCCAAAGCAACAAATGTAATTCTCCAAATGTTCTCAACATATTTCATCAAAATAAATTGTAACTTTCTGTTTATCCTAAAAGATTTAGAAAGTTAAGTTCAACCAGACAATTGAGTGAATAAATTAATGTTACAACAAAATGTTAAAATAATAAAATTAAAAAAAAAATTCACCTGGATTTCCTTCCCATCCCCTTTAAGTTGTCTAAATTCTGCTATAAATAAAAATCTAAATTGATTTTTCCTCGAACATCTACCCCAATGTCTTAATAATTTTTAAAGAAATCAATTCCTCATTTGTGTGTGATATATACTTCATAATGAACTGATAACTATAACAGACTTTATCAGTTTAAGTAAAGACTATTTCAGGATTACCTATTAAATTTCAAATGTTTGTCTTCTTCTTGGACTAGTATCACAACTTTCAGTAATTACATAGCTTTGTAATGCCTTTAATATCTGGTAGAGCTAATTTACCCCACTATTATATTGTTTTGTTTATCCTCCCCAAGCCTTAACTATTAGTGTATTAAAATTAGTAAAGAGACTAGACTGGGTTTTAAAGCTAGGAAGATTTAGTTTCAAATCCTCATTCTTCAATTAACGCCTGTGCATGTCATTCAATGTCTTAGATTCTCCATTTCCTCATCTAGAAAATTAGAGTAATAACACCTACAATGATATTACAAGAATTAAAGGAAATAGCACTGTGCTTAACAGAGATCAAACACTTGGTTAGTGATATAAGCATTGCTCATATTTTTAAAGTTAGGCATGAATATTATTTTATTACTTTTGTCTATTTTTACAATTATTCTTTAGATTTTTTTATTTCTCTGGAATATTGCAAGGAATTAAATTTGGGTCTGTTAATGTGTATTTTGTGGGAAAATTCGTGTGTTTATACAACATATAATTATTTTTGTCTTTACCTTTTATTCATCTTTTTAAAATTCCTATATGCAAAGTTTTTCTTCCTACTTTTCATTAATGTTATTCCAGGATATGCTTTTATTTTTACTTTAAATGAAACATCTTCAAAGATATTTTTGAAATGTCTATTGCTGATACATAGGAAAGTTATCACTAAAATGTATCACTTGCCTGATTTCTCACAAATTTTTGAGCATCCTTCTTTTTAATCACAGTTTTTGGAACTAATTAAAAGAATATTTTCTAAACTTTTAAGTTAAAACCATGAAGAGAAATACCAGTAAACATGTATACTTAAAAAAAAAAAAAAAGACTTTTTGACCACCAAGTTAGAAAAGAAAAACTGAGACTGAAAATGAGAGCAAGAATGAAATACCTAATGTTAGCAAAGTATTAGTGACATAGAAACTCTCTGCTAAGAAGGATATACTCTGGAAAAATCTTTAGGAAATTCACTTAGTACCTATCAGACATCTTAAAAATACTAATGTCCTACAATTCAATAGTTCCACCTTTTACAACTGGCTATGGAAATTCAAGGTGCCAAAACTGTTTATACAATACGCTAACTATAAACATATTTTTAATAATGAAAAAAGTGAGAAACAAATATCCCACAGTAGGAAAATTCTGGTTCCAGACAACCCACTTGTCAGCCATCATCTCCTATTCTTTTCAAAGTACTTAGTTTATGACAGAGCCCAAGTTCAACAATCCTCCTTCTCATAGGGACAATCCAGTGATCTTATCAACTTTTCATTGTTCCTTACTCCCTGTTGTCCTCTCTTCCCTCTTTACAAAGCTTAAGTCCCAACCATTATAGACTTTCTCATGCTTTTACCCCACCTACCGCACCTCTTTCTTAGTAGTTACTGTACTTGCATGATGAAACCACAACTCTGGGTCAACATACTGATAACTCTGTCTCTGCACCTATACTGGTAAATATGACTAAATAAAAACCATGATGCTTATTTAAATTAACAATCACTAAATTCATTTGGACTCTTAATGCTTTCCTAGCAATATATGTACTTAGTCCATTCCTTCTCCCCCTCTCTTAGATCACTATTTCAACTTACTCCTCTTTCTTCAAACCAGCAATTCTCTCACCCACTATCAGATGATAATCTTGCTTAGTATTTCATTGAAAACATTAAAGCAGTCAGAAGAGAACTTCACAAGTTCCCACAACCACATCCTACATTTTACCAGCGTTTTTGCCCACAGGGTCTGGCACAAATACCGCCCCCCTTTTTTTTAATCACAAAATCTTTTATTACAAAATCATAAGCATGTGATTCTGTAACATAACAATATCACACGCAACCACGCCATACGGCATTTTAGAGGACATGTTCAAATTACAACTATAAATTATTACACCCATATTATTACCCTACCAACCAATCTATGTTTCTCTCTTACATCCATGTCCCCCTCTCTCTCCCCTCCCCCTCCTCTCATCAATAAACATCCTCAGATGAGGGTTAAAAAAAAAAAAACTGCCCTGGCCAGTGTAGCTCAGTTGGTTAGGCGTCATACTGCAGACTGAAAGGTTGTAGCCTCTATTCCCCATCCGGGCACATGCCTGGGCTGCAGTTCGGTTACTGGTCAGGCTGTGTGCAGGAGGCAACTGATTGATGTTTCTCTCCCTCTCTTCCTCCCTCCTTTCCCTTCTCTCTAAACTCAATCAATCAATAAATCCAAAAAATAAAAAATAAAAAACAGCCCTGGCTGGTGTGGCTCAGTGGATTGAGCCCTGGCCTATGAATCAAAGGGTCGCTGGTTCAATTCCCAGTCCGGGCAAATGCGTGAGTTGCAGGCCAGGTCCCCAATGCGGGGCGCGTAAGAGGCAACCACACATTGATGCTTCTCTCCTTCTCTTTCTCCCACCCTTCCCCTCTGTCTAAAAATAAAATCTTAAAAAAAAAAACTACATGTTTATTTACATCTTAAAAAAAGAAAAAGAAAAACTCAACATAACTACCTTCTACTCTTTTCTCTGGACTTCGAGGACACTATGCCTCCCTGGTGTTTCCCTGCTTTGCTGCTTTGTCCTCATCTTCCTAACATTTAAATGTTAGAAGGGCTCACTTACTCTAAGGCTCAGTTCTTGAACCCTCTTCTCTCTTTTATCTGCTTAAGAATTTCTGGCCTTTACAGGGGGTATAAATAAAAGTTTAAGGTACATATAGGAATTTATATAACCTTTAAATTGAAAATTTACCTGTTTCTCTGGAGAGAAGTTAAAAACTGTAACCTTTGCTTAGTGATAATGAGATTCCCCAGGTAATCTCATTCACTTTCATGGTTTTAACACCATCATTGTGTCAATACTGCCAATTTTATATTTACATTGAGTCTTTCTTTTTTTTAACTCAAATTCCAAATACTCAAGGAGCTACTCAAACATCTCCTAGGCACCTCATCCCTAAAAAATATGCAAAATTAGGCCCCCGTCATTCCTTCCTAAACCAGATTCTCCTGTAGTTCTCACCATCTCAGGTAATAGGAACTCCATTTTTCTAATTGCTCAGATAAAAATGCTTGATTCCTGTCCCTCTCATATCTCCACATTAAATCTGTCAGCTTTACCTTTAAAATCTTTTTAGAGTCCAATCACTTCTTACCACCTCAGTCCAAGCTGCCATCATCTCTTGCCTGTACTACTTCATCAGCCTTTTTCTTAGTCTCCTTACTTCTCTGTTCTTCCCCCTGACAACCTGCTCTCAGCGCAGGAGCCAGGAAGATTCACTGAACACTTAAGTCTAATCTTTTGCTTCTCTATTAAAACCCCCAATTGCTCACCAGAGCAAAAAAAGCCAAAATCTTCACATGGTCAACAACACCCTAAACTATCTGCAATGTGCAGTATCTTACCTCCTATCACTTTTCTCATTCATGTTCTTCCATCCACCATAGCCTCCTTGCTATTCCTTGCCAGGCACACTCCTGACCAGATTCTGCTCTCCTTCCAGGTATCTATTTATCTAGCTCACAAGTAGCCTGGTCAGTTTCTCCAAATTTTCAATTCAAACACTACCATTTTATTTTCCCTCCCTTATGGAATATTGTTCTACTTAACACATTATCTAAAATACTGTACATTTTACTTTTCTGTTTATTGCCTGACTTCTGTACTACATTGTAAACTCCATGAGGATAGGAACTGGTTTGTTTCAGAAACACATCTCAAGTATCTAGAACAAAACTTGGACATGTAAGTAGACACTATAAATATGTTCAATGAATGACAGTAAATAAAATATGCTATTGCACCCCCACTAGATATCATTATTCAGTCATTAGTTTTTTAATGAAAAGTTCATAATACCATAGTAAAACAGGTATGCAAATCCTTCTTACATTACCAATACATTAAACTCTCTTGGAAAGCAGTACAGTGTATATACACTGAAGAGCCTATATGGGCCTTAAAATAACACAAATCAGAATTCAAATTCTTGACTTTTCCATTTTCTAGCAATGTGACCACTAGCATATTATTTGAACTGACAGTTCGTTTTTTTCATGAAAAGATGGGGATAAGAAACTTTTTAAAATACCATTCTAAGAATAAATGTAGGTAATGCATGCAGATGACCCTTCATATATTAAGTGCTGAATAAGTGTGATTGTCAATACTATTACCTCACATTGCTAAAAATAATTACTGAGTGATTTAGGTATTTGTCATGATTTCTTTTTTCAATGCCAGGCAAAGGATACACAAGTGTTTTTATACTGTTTTCTGTTTTTCAACATACCTGGAATATTTAATTTTAGAAATATAAAAAAAATAATTTCTGAATAAAAATAAGTCAGAATTTCTAACAACTCCTATTTGCAGGGCTTTTGACCTCTATGCCCCAAAGAATAAATTTAAATATAGATATTAGATTATCACTTAATATGTTTGTCTTAAAATGGGGGACGAAGAGTTTTCTTTTTAAAGGATTTGTGGGTTACACTAATATAAGTTAGAATTTTAATATTTCATACCTCCTCCCTGTCAGGTGGAACAACAACAGATTGGAAGAAGATACTGATAAAGATGTTTCTATTAACATCTAATTTCACACAGTAATATGTAAGATTCTCCGTATGAAAGCATTATTATAAAAATTTCCTATATATAGCACTTTCAGAGAAAGGGTAGAAAATACTTAAAAGTCACATCATGATCAGGGAGGTGATCGGAGATATAACTCTTAAAATAAAAGGTAACCAACTCAAGGTCTTAGAATTTTAATTACAGTAAAAACAGTGGAAACTTTAAACATACTATATAATATCAAAGGCTGATTTTTTTTACTTCCATATCAAAACATCAAATAATTTGATGATCATACTATGTGCTATGTGCTTGTGTAAAGAACAGTACAATACTCTGCCCCTGATATTTTTGAGAAGAATCAAGGCAAGAAAGTATTAATTTAACAAAATTCATTCCTTCATAAAAAGGACCTTTATTGGAAGGAAAAACACTGGGTAAGAAAGCGGCACATCCCATTTTAGAGAAAGGCTCAAAAAATACCTGGCTAATTAATTTTAAGTAATGCAATCATTTGATAATAACAGATGCTATAAACAAGGTGATCATCTGATTATGACTGAGATTGAGTTGCGAGGTCCAAGTCTAAAACCACACATACCCAAACTTAAAGTGAAAAAAAGTGCAGTTGCATAGAAATTGTTTGGCTTTGTCTTTTGGCGGTGGTGGTGGCGGGGAGGGGAGGGGAGCAGGAGGAGTAAAAAAAAGAGATGGATATGGTACAAGAGTGAAAAAGAACTACAGGGAAACAAGATATTATAAAAGGAATAGACTACCTTTGATATCAGCATACTTTCTTTACCTGACATGTTCCACTAATATTTTTAACTTTCTTTTTTCTCTATAAATAACTATGCCGTCTGTTTTTTGCCTAAGACACATGGAGCTGGCAAGCAAAAGTATTTTGTGAGTTAACTGAACTAAAACTTCTCCCCTCCAAAAGTTTTTGGAAAAAAGACTGCAAATATAGGCTAAAATCTGCTAAAGACCTTTTCGAAAAGACCTTTTGTTATTCCTACATTCATGTTACTTAATTTTATAAAAAAAAAACTTCTTCAAGAGCAAGAATTTTTCATAGAACTCAGGTTTTTGTTTTTGTTTTTGTTTTGGCTTTTGTTTTCTCCAATAACATAGCATGGTGAAAGGAACAGGATGGCTTCCCCATCCTCAGATTCTTGATTTGCAGTTCCGAATATTCCTGGTATGCGATAACCCATACTCTCTCCCCACTCATCAGGATGACGTACTTTTTACTTTCAGTAGGTTGAAGTGGAGGGTATGATTTAATGTTACCCTTACTCATGGTACCTAAAAGAAAAGCAAATGGTAGAGCAGCAGTTGGGTGACAGAATTTTAAAAAGGAGGGAAAATATCCACAGGGATCTATCTATCTTACTTTCCCTCTCTTTCTTTCTGAAAAACGTAGAAGTATCTATTTCCAATTGATAGGAATAGGAGACAAAATGAAAATAAAACATCTAGAGGAGGAGACAGAGTTGATGAGAGGTCACATAGAAAAACAGGGGAGATCAGACAGACACACCCAAACACAGAATTTTAAAAAAAAGAAGTTCTAAAAAAATATTGTTTTATTTTTCTTTCTTTTTTGAGGGGAAGCAGATTAACAGGTAAGAAATTGGATCAGCCGGTCACTGAGTTCCTTCACTAACTCATGCTCCTACTCATCACTCCCATCCTAAAATATCTGCATTAAAGCTAATACAACTTTCCTTAACTCCCAGGACAAACAATGCCAAAGATCCTCAACTTAAGAATTTCTGGCCTTACAGGGGTTATAAATAAGAATTTTAAGGTATAGGAATTTGTATGTCTTTTAAATTGAAAATCTGTTTCTCTGGAGATTAGTTCAGAAATATAACCTTTGCTTAGTGATGAAATAATTGAATCCAAAGTTTCCTGCATCTCTAAAGCAGCCATAATTAGTTATAGTGCAATGATTTGCTCTATTTGGTCTACCTAAGACTATACGGCTGTTAGTCTCAGCATGCTATACATGATCTTTTCTACAACATTTAAAAATATGTTTAAGTGGAATAATTATCTTCCCCATAGAAGTATTTTCTCCTGATGAACCACCAACATATCTAGGAAAAAAGAAGAGCTCCTCTCTTTTATACTAGAATGAAAACCACTCTGGTCACATTATTCTGGTTTCTGAAATATTTATTTTTACCTATAATTAGTGGGAGGGCAAGTAAATTTATCCATAAATAAGTACAAACATCATTGCTAAATGTGCTATAAATAGGTAACAAAATATCAACATAACCTGACATCTATTGCCAAATACTGACTTCAATCAATGTATGTACAGCACTTTTAAAAGTCCTGAGGTGCTTACTTTAATTTCAACTTGCTCTTCCATTTCTTTAGTTTTTATTGTAGTGTATTCTTTTTCAAGCCTAAGAAGAAAAAAAATAAAGGTGTGTTTTCATTCAAAAGTAGTTATTAAATTATAAAATTTAAAACTATATGTTAACACAATATAATTTCATTAAGTTCCCCAACTTATAACTTGAGATATTTGATAAAAGAAAAATCATTCAAGTAGTTACATGAATTATTACCAAAAAAATTACTTCACAAACAATGAAAGCAAATTTTAGAACAGAGATTTTGAATCTTTTTCATCTCATGACACACATAAATTAATTACTAAAATCCTGTGACATATAAAAGTTATTTTTTGCCAATCTGACAAAAATTGGTATAATTTTAAAGTCAATATTCAGAAATCAAACGCATTTTTGTACACCAGCAATGAAATAGAAGAAGAAGAAATCAGGAAAAATATACCATTCGATATAGCAACAAGAAAAATAAAGTACCTAGGAATAAATTTAACCAAGGGGGTAAAAGACCTGTACGCAGAAAACTATACAACATTGAAGAAAGAAATTAAGGAAGACACAAATAAATGGAAGCATATACCGTGCTCATGGATTGGAAGAATTAATATCATCAAAATGTCCATACTACCCAAAGCAATTTATAGATTCAACGCAATCCCTATTAAGATACCAATGACGTATTTCACAGAAATAGAACAGACATTTCAAAAATTTATATGGAACCATAAACGACCCCGAATAGCCGCAGCAATTGTGAGAAAGAAAAACAAAGTAGGAGGGATCACAATACCGGACATTAAACTCCACTACAAAGCCACCATACTGAAAACAATCTGGTACTGGCACAAGAACAGATCCATAGACCAGAGGAACAAAATAGAAAGCCCAGATATAACCCCAGGTCTCTATGGGCATCTAATATTTGACAAAGGGGGCAGAAACATAAAATGGAGCAATAATAATCTCTACAACAAATGCTGTTGGGAGAGCTGGACAGCTACATGCAAAAAATTGAAATTGGATCATCAGCTGACACCATACACAAAAATAAACTCAAGATGGATAAAAGACTTCAATATAAGTCGCAACATCATCAAAGTCCTAGAGGAGAACATTGGCAGGAAGCTCTCAGATATCCCACGCAGCAATTTTTTCACCGATATGTCTCCTAAAGCAAGGAACATAAAGGAAAGAATAAACAAGTGGGACCTCATCAAAATAAGAAGCTTCTGCATGGTTAAAGAAAACATCAGCAAAATGAAAAGGGAGCCAACCATATGGGAAAATATATTTGCTAATGATACATCAGATAGAGGTTTGATCTCCAAGATATATAAAGAACTCACTCGACTCCACTCCAAGAAGACGAATGATCCAATCAAAAAATGGGCAAAGGACCTGGGCAGTCGCTTTTCCAAGGAGGAGATACAGAGGGCCCAGAGGCATTTGAAACGATGCTCAGCATCACTAGCCATCAGAGAAATGCAGATCAAAACTACCATGAGGTACCACCTCACACCGGTCAGAATGGCCATCCTAAACAGATCAACAAACAACGGGTGCTGGCGAGGCTGTGGACAAAAGGGAACCCTAGTACACTGTTGGTGGGAATGCAGACTGGTGCAGCCACTATGGAAAGCAGTGTGGAATTTCCTCAAAAGCTGAAAATGGAACTGCCTTTTGATCCAGTGATTCCCCTGCTGGGACTATACCCTAAGAACACCAAAACGCCAATACAAAAGAACCTATGCACCCCAACATTCATAGCAGCACAATTTACAATAGCCAAGTGTTGGAAGCAACCTAAATGTCCATCAGTAGATGATCGGATCAAAAAATTATGGTACACATACACAATGGAATACTACGCAGCAGAAAGAAAAAAAGAACTACTAAACTTCGAGACAGCATGGATGGAATTAGAGAGCATTATGCTAAGCAAAATAAGCCAGGGGGCGAAAGACAAATACCATATGATCTCACCTATAAGTGGAACCTAACCAACAACACAAAGATGCAAGGAAAATAAGATCCACAACACTGAAAGGAAAAGAAATCAACAGAGATAAGAGGGAAAGGGGGGGTGGGGAAAAGGAAGGGAAGGGGAAAGTCAAGGAACATATAGCAAGGACTCATGGACAAAACCAAAGGGGAAGAGCTGAGGGAGGGAAGGAGGAAGGGGGCAAGGGAAAGTGGTGGGGGGAAGGCAGAGACAAATGTATTTGAAAAAATAAATTAAAAAAAGATTTAAAAGAATATTATAATAAAAAAATTGGTATAATTTTGATTGACTTACAAAAAAATAGTGATTACCTACATTTTTTGCAGCAAAGTGACTTTTTAAGAAATCAAGTGCCTACACTTACATATAAGGATTTCTAATACCAAGAATTATACCTTACTATGAAACGTGACCAACAAGATGCACCTCTATTATATGACCTATGTATTTATGGTTCAAGACAGGGCATTCCCACCAGATGGCTATCAGTGTGTCGGCTGCTGTCATTTTTTTATTTGGTAATCTAAGGGAAAATAGGTCAGTATCCCTGATTAAACAGTCAGGTATTACATGTTTTAAAAATTCTCATGGCACCCTGGTTTGTGTGGTTTGGTGGGTTGAGTGCCAGCCTGCAAACCGAAAGGTCACCAGTTTTATTCTCTATCAGGACACATGTCTGTGTTGTGGGTCAGGTCCCCAGTTAGGGGCGTGCAAGAGGCAACCAACTGGTATTTCTCTCGCACGTTGATGTTTCTCTCCCTCTCTTCTCCTCTCTCTGAAAATAAATTTAAATAATCTTTTTTAAAAATCCTTGTGGCACACCAGTTAAAAATCGCTGCTTTAGAGAGTAAAATATATAAGCCACTGAAGAGAACTAATTTTACAGATTCTATTCAGCCCTAAACTGTCAAAAGAACTACCCATCCTACTCTCCTCAAATTAAAATACATCTTAGAGTTCAAAAAAGAAAAGCTTAACGAAAGACATACCTTACATTCCGAGAAATGCACTGATGCATTAGGCAATTCTGTCATTGTGCAAAAGCTAAGGAGCCATGCAAGCTCTATCTGGAGCACACCCATTCCTTTTCTAGGGCATGAACTTTTAAATTTCTTTCTCCTAAACTCTAAGGGACCCAATGAGACTTGCAACCAGGGGAGCAGCAGGCAACAGCAGCTCTTCCCAGTCTTACCCCCTGGACCTGTCTCCAAGGACCCCTTCTCCTCTGACTTCCCAGTGAGCTAAAAGCAGCCCCACTTTGGCTCACTTCTCTCACTTCTCTCCTATAGCAGCTCCAGGGAGAGCTCTTGTAGCACTGCTTCGGCTCCCTCCTGTTACTTTTTCTACCCTAAGCCCTTCCTCAGTTTCACTGTGTCCAGCTTTAATAAACATATTCTCAGGAAAAAAAAAAGCTTGTAGCCATGAAGAACAAACATAAGATTAAGTCAAACACAAGAGAAAATGATGCAATCAAGAGAAGCAGTATACATAAGATGTATGAGGCTGTTGCAGAGGCGTATGAGGCGTGACATGGCATGCTGTTTTATGGCAAGCTTTTTTTTAAAAAAATAAGTAGAAAGCATACATTCTAAAATAATGAATAAAATAATAGAGCAAATATATGAACCAGTAATATAGTCATTTATTATCATTATCACTTATTATGTACTGTACATAATTTTATGTGCTATACTTTTATAAGACTGGCAGCGCAGTAGGCTTATTTACGCACATACGTGGGTGATACATAGCACTATGACATTACCATGGCTACCACACCACTATGTGATTAGAATTTTTCAGCCCCATCATAATCTTATGGGGCCACCTTCATATATTGTCCGTCGTTGACCAAAAAAAATTACAAAAAAATGACTAGTAAAATTGTCTAACATTTATAATGGGGAAAAAGGGACAACTATTTGTAACAGCATCCCAATTAATAAACATAGAGGAAATAAGGCAAATATGAAAAGCCCTGGCCAGGTAGCTCAGTTGGTTAGAGCATCATCCCTATATGCCATGGTTGCAGGTTTTTGATCTCACATCAGGGAAATTACAAAAAGCAAGCAATGAATACATAAATAAGTGGAATAACAAATCAAGGTCTGCCTCTCTCCCCCCACCATCAATAAATAAAAAATTAAAAAAATAAAAATCATCATTAGAACTTCACAATAGTAACTGCCATAGGCAAGAAAAATCAATGGATTCTAAAATTAATGAATAAAAGTTTAAGCATAGTCTCAAAGTATCTCTTCCCAAATAGTTAGCAATTACAAAGGGAAAAATAGTCAATTTATGGTACAGAATCCTAGCAGGCAACATCTGAGCCAACTGACCAAAGCTATCACCAGTAATCATATTAACATAGGATGTTCTGAAAAGGGCACCACCTCGCTTCAGTGGTATCCTTTCCAGTAATGCATATCCTCAATGTAATCAAGAGAAATCATCAAACAAACCCAAATTTAAGGACATTCTACAAAATAACTCATCAGTTCACTTCAGAAGTATCAAGGTCATAAAAGACAAGAAAAGACTGAAGCACTGTCACCAACTGTAGGAAAGTAAGAAATGACAAACAAATGAGATATACTATTTTTGCAACTCTAATGTAAGTATAAAATTATCTTTTAAAAATTCTTAGGATATACAAAAATTAGTCTCAACGAGGTATTTTTATATCTTGCTCTTGACCAAAAATATCAAGTTTAATGATTCCAAATATTAATACCACCAGGCCCCAAATACTTAGAGCTCCTTTTAAAACTTAAATTCTCCCTCAAAAATAAAAACCTATTATTCTCTACATATACAAAATCTCATTTAGCTCACAGTAATTTTTATTGGGGTAAAATACATAAAACATAAAATTTACCAATTTAACTCTTTTTTGAGTGTAAAGTTCAATAGTATTAAATACATTCATAATGTTCTGCAGCCACTGCCACCAGCAAGTCCATACCACTTTCCATCTTACAAATCTGAACCTCTACTCCACAATACAATAACACCTCATTCTCCCCTTTCCTTAGACCGTGACAACAACCATATTATGTTCTGTGATTCTAACAATATTAAGTACCTCACATGAGTGGAATCATACAGTATTTGTCCTATTGTGCCTGGGCTATTACTTTTAGCATAATGTCCACAAGTTTCATCTATATTATACCTATGTCAGAATTGACTTCCTTTTTAAAGCTGAACTGTCTTGTATTTGTTGTAAATACAATGAATTTCATTATTATTTATACACCACATATTGTCTATCCATTTATCCAGCAATTGACACTTCAGTGGCTTCCATGTTTTGGCTAATACGAATGCTGCTGCTATGAATATGGGTGAACAAGTATCTTTTCAAAACGTTATTTCATTTTTTTGGAGTATATACTCAGAAGAGGAATCACTGGATTATATGGTAATTCTATTGTTATTTTTTTGAGGAACCGCCATAACGTTTTTCATAGCAGCTTTACCATATTTTATTTCCAGCAACAGTGCACAAGGGCTCGTATTTCTCCACATCCCCAGCAGCACTTGTTATTTCCTGTTTTTGTGATAGAAGCCACTGTAATAGGTGTCAGGTTATCTCACTGTAGTTTTAATTTACATTTCCACAATGATCAATGATGTTGAATATCTTTTTATGTGCTTATTTCCTTGGTCGCCTGTATATTTTCTTTGGAGAAATGTCTATTCAAGTCCTTTGCCCATATTTTAAATCTGCTGTTTGTTTTTTGTTGTTTTTGAGTTTTAGCTATTCTCTCTGTATTTTAGATATTAATCCCTTATCAGATATTATTTGTAAATATTTTCTTCCATTCTCTGGGTTGCCTTTTTACTCTCAAAAGTGTCTTAGTTTGCAGAACATTTTTTAAATTCATGAAGTCCAATGTGCCTTTTTGTTGTTGTTGTTGTTGTTGCCTGTGCTTTTGGTGTCATACCCAAGAAATCATTGCCAAATCCAACATAATGAAGGCTTTGCCCTATGTTTTTCAACTAAGAGTTTCATAGTTCAAATTCCTACATTTAGATCTTTGATCCATTTTGACTTAAATTTTGCATACGGTGTTAGGTAAGGGCCCAACATCATTCTTTTGCATGTGAATATATGCATGACCATATATGTGAGGACTTATTTCTAGATTATCTGTTCCACTCCCTGTGTCTATATGTCTGTCTTTATTCTAGTACAATGTTTTGATTACTATAGTTTTGTTGTAAGTTTTGAAGTAAGTATGAGTCCTCCAGCTTTGATGTTCTTTTTTTAAATAACTTTTTCTTTTTCAATTACAATTGACATACAATATTATATTAGTTTCAGGTATAAAACATATTAGACATTCATATAACTTATGAGATAATCACTCCGATAAATCTAGCACCCCTCTGACACTATAGTTATCACAACATTACTGACTATATTCCCTACGCAATACTCTATATTCCCATGAGTATTCTGTAACTACCAATTTGTACCTTCTAATTTCTTCCCGTTTTCCACTGATCCTCCCAACCCCTCTCACCTGGCAACCATCAAAATGTTCTCTGCATCTGTGAGTTTGCCTCTGTTCTGTCTGTTTGCCCATCCTGTCTTTCAGATTCCACACTTGAGAGAACTCACATTGTATTTCTCTTTCTGTCTGACTCACCTCACTTATCCCAATACCCTCTTAAGTCCATCCATGCCATAACAGATGGCAAGATTTCATTCTTCTCTATAGCTGAGTAATATGCCATTGTATATGCCACCTCTACTCCATCCTTTCATCCATCGATGGACACCAGGGCTGCTTCCATATCTTGGCTACTGCAAACAACACTGCAATAATATATGGATGAACATATCTCCCCAAACTAGTGTCCTGGGTTTCTTCAGATGAATACCCAGAAGTGGAATTGTTAGGTCCTTCTTTGTCTCTTGTCATAGCCTTTGTCTTAAAATCTATTTTGTCTGGTATAAGTATTGCTAACCCAGCTTTTTTTTGTTTCCATTTTCATGAAATATCTTTTTCCATCCCTTTACTTTCAGTGTATATGTGTCTTTAATCTGAAATAAGTCTCTTGGAGACAGCACTTGTAAGGGGTCTTGTTTCCTTATCCATTCAGCTACCCTATCTCTTTTGATTACGGCATTTAATACATTAACATATAAAATAATTGTTGATAATATGTAGTTATTGCTATTTCATTATTCATATTTTAGATCTTTTCTTTCTTCTTCTTCTTAAAGGAGTCCCTTTAACATTTCTTGTAATACTGGTTTGGTTGTGATAAATTCCTTTACCTTTTTCTTGTCTAGAATGGTGTTCTTTTTCACAATTTGCTATTCAGGGTTCTTTGAGATTCTATATGAATTTTAAGATGGAGTTTCCAATTTCAGCAAAAAGTGTTGTTGGGATTTTGATAGGGATTTCATTGAATCTGTAGTTCACTTTAGGTAGTATTGACACCTTAACAATATTAAGTCTTCCAATCAATGAACAAAGAATGTGTTTTCATTTATTTAAGTCTTCTTTAGTTTCTTTCAGAAATGTTTTACAGTGTTCATTATACAAGTATCTCACCTCCTTGATTAAGTTAATCCCTAAGTATCTTACTCTTTTTGATACTATTATACATGAAATATCCTTTCTGGATTGTTCATTGTTCATGTATAGAAACTCAATTCATATTTGTGTATTAACTTTGTATCCTGCTACTTTGCTAAATTCATTTATTAGCTCTAACAGTTTTTTGGGGGGGTTTATGGTACAATGTTTTGATTTTTCCACATACAAGATCATGTTTCTTGTCAAAAGACATAATTTTACTCTTTAATTTGGATGCCTTTCTTTTCCTTGCCTAACTGGCCTGGCTAGAACTTTCAGTACTGTTTTGAACAGAAGTGGAAAAAGGGAGTATCCTTACATTGTTCCTGATCATAGAGGAAAAACTCTCAGTCTTTTACCATTTGGTGTGATATTAGCTGTGGTTGTTTTGTTTTTTTTTTCATACATGGATTTTATTAGGTTGAGGTAGCTGCATCACAATCCTAGTTTGTTTAGTGTCTTTTTTTTTTTTATTATTATGAAAGGGTACTGAGTTTTGTCAAATGCTTGTTCTCCATCAATTGAGATGATCATGTGGTTTTTTTTCTCCTTCACAGTTCATGTGGTGTATTGCGCTGACCAATTTTCATATGTTGAACTATCCTTGCATTCGAGGAATGGAATAAATCCTATTTGGTTGTGGTGTATAAGCTTTTTTAACATGCTGCTGAATTTGGCTTGCTGGTATTTTGTTGAGTGTTTTTGCATCAGTGTTTAGAAGGCATGTTGATCTTTTAGTTTTCTTGTACTGTCTTTATCTGTCTTTGGTATCAGGGTAATGCTGGCTGGCCTCATAGAATGAGTTAGGAAGTATTCCCTCCTCTTCAACTTTTTGTAAAACTTTGAGAAACTGACAGTAGTTTCCTCTTTAAATGTTTGGTAGAATTAACCAGTGAAGCTCATAAATTGACATGCTTTTCCAACAAATTTTAATAACGTAATTCTCAACTCACATTCTAATATACTTCCTGGACTGGGAAGATCTATAGGAGTATGTCCTATGTATTAATGTAATTTCATGTTGAAGCAGCAAAGATACTGAGAACTGCCGACATATACTACGGTTATCATTTTAAGCATTTTGTAATCATAGAATCTAGTGTAAGGAATGCTAACTATGACTTCAGGCTAAAATTTGTTTAAGTACTAAAAGCTAGAAAAATAAGAGCTGTGATTCTTAATTAAAGTCTTTACCATATTTCAAAAATTAATATTTATAAGCCAAGACTGCTTATCTTGAACTTTTATGAAACATATACCAAGAAAAGTTTCACTAGAAAGTAACATACAAAAAACAAAAATATAAGTTCAGTTCATAATTCATACTTCATGACTTTCCTTCTGATTGTGCTAATCTTGAATTTAACTCACTGATCCCCAACCTTTTTGGCACCAGGGACCAGTTTTGTAAAAGACAATGTTTCCATGGACCAGGGGTCAGGGAGTGTGGGTAGGAGATAGGAGACAGAGCTCAGGCAGTAATTCCAGTGGTGTCCACAGACAGGGGTAGAGAGGTTGGGGACCCCTTATTAAGTGATACTCTGGGGTCAACTGATAGGAAAAGAACGTCAGTGAATTGAACTGTCAGTAGGTTCAGGAAACAAGTTACATAAGTAAAAGAAGAGCTCTTGGAGCTTAGGAGAGGGAAAAATGTAGGTAACACCTGGGAGAAAGAAGAGGGAGATGGGACAGAAGAGGACATGCTACCGAGAGGGAGAGCAAAGGACAACATGCACAGGAAGTGGGTAGTTTTAACAATAATCCACAATGGCCCCATGCACTATCAAGAGCAGTATAAAATTCCAACATTTAATTCACTACTGTAAAAACCATTACCACCAAATAAAACACTATAGTTGTATACACTGAGGAGGAAAACTGCTCTTATCAGTAGAATACTTGCCACTTCTATTTAATTTCTTACATGCTTCAGAAAATCCCTATAACTAAGAACCTAAATATACAATACTTACTTTTTCATTTTTTTTGAGTTATACTTGACTTGGTAAGCTGCCTGGATTAATTTGTCTGGACCTCCGTCAAACTGATGTGGGATGACCTTCTGAAAGTGCTAAGAAACAATAAAAGAAAAACATTCAGAGCTACGTAGTGCCTTTGCTATTAATTATTATTAACTCATTAATAGCAAAATCTAAAGGCATTCAAGAAATCATGAACTGACTTACCTGTAACATCCCTTCCATGTCGAGTTGCATCAGTTCTGCCTGATTCATTTGAAGAAGTGCTAATCCTACTCGAAACACTATTTCTAAACCCTGAGGAAACAAATTAAATAAAGCCAAATTTGTCTTACTCTTCCATCAACAAAAACTAATTATTCAAAAGAATAATAAGATAAATATTTAGGGATCTAAACTAGAGCTTAGCCAACATTTTCCATAGAGTTAGATCTTTTAGAGTAAATATTTTAGGTTTTATGGGCCATATGGTCACTGTTACAAATATTCAACTCTGCCACTGTAGCCCAAAAGCAGACATAGACAACACATCAACAAATGGGCATGGCTTTGTTTCAAGAAAATTTTATTTACAAAGACAAGTGAAAGGACAGATCTAGTATATGAACCAGTAAACAAATCACAGTTTGCTGGTTCCACATTAAACTACTTTAGCTAGGTAATACAAATTAACCTTTCTAAGACGTAATTAATAACAATACTGGGTTTGATTAAGATGTAATTAATAACAATAATACTTTCAAGTGCTATCTACCACTGATCACCTATCCTTGCCTTCCTACCTTCTCATCCAAAATAGAGAAGACAAAGGATCACTACTGCATGCCAATGACAATTACAAAGACTACCTATAATGTGTTCCTAGAATAGAAGAAACTAAATTAGATTCATTACTTCTGTCTTTGGATACCAGATGCATTGCAACATATTAACTGTAAGGCAAATTTTCTTTCTCACTGATTCTCACTAAATCAATCAGGAGGTGATGCTGAGGTTTAAGGGCATAGGTTTCAGGTTTTGATTGCCATAGACAAGCTAGGTACTTAATATTTCTCTAAGTATTTGGCTTCCTCATCTATAAAATGGGGAAATGAACAGTATCTGACAGGGTTGTTACAGGTTTAAATGACATCATCCATATAAACAGTTTAGCATGGGACACATGGGTCTCCTTTATGGTTCTCCTCACAGCCCTGCTCTAATTAATTCACTGATTCCTTAATCATTCTGCCCATTAGCTTACCTCAGACATAAAGATATCAAATATCCTTGTTGCAACTGGTAGTGGAAAAGTCGTAAGAAAGATAGTCAGAAACCAGGATGATGCATACATTGAGGTATGAAAACTCTGAGACTGAAAATGTACAAAGAGCTCTGGAAGATGTTCCTAAAGAGAAGAAAAGAATTAGTCAAAACACAGTAAAATCGATTATTAAACCAGACTGCTATATATACACTAGATTAGCCTATACCAAACACAAAGATAAGATCAGGCATCACAAAGAAAAGTTAAGAAATGGAAAATGATATGTTCAGGATAGTGGTGAATTACTGCCCAAAAGGGAAGAAAGGGAAAATTATGTAGAGTTAGGTTTTGGCTGTATTCATAACATTTGATTTATTAATGAAAAAAAAAAAAAACAACTAAAGCGAGTAAATAAATGCTTTTTTAAGATTTTATTTATTTTCAGAGAGAAGAGAAGGGAGAGAGAAAGAGAAGGAGAAAAACACTGATAGGTTTCCTCTTGCTCGCCCCCAACTGGGGCCCTGGCCATAACCCGGGCATGTGCCCTGACAGGGAATTGAACCGTCAACCTTTCAGTTTGCAGGCCAGTGCTCAATCCACTGAGCCACATCAGCCAGGGCAGTGAGTAAAATTTTCGTATTTGTCTAACCTTGCTGGTGGGTAGATGTGTCTCTGATATTTTCTATAAACTACAATATTTCAAATTTTTTAAAAGAGGAAAGAAATGTTATTTTGAAATATTTTCAGGTGCTATCTACCTTTGGTCACTTTACCTTCCTACCTTCTCACCCAAAATACAGATGCTTCAGCAACTCTAGTAATTAAAAACATAAATGAAACATTAACTGAAAATAAACCAAGAGCATTTAAGGGTTGATTAAAAATAAGCTATTTCAAAAAAAGAATTTAAGGATCATCTCAAGACCTACTTTGTTTTTAAAATGTACGAACATTAGGCCCATCCCTTCCTCCTTCCACACACAGAAAAGATGGGGAACTTAAAAATTTCTATGGGTAAGGCTGCCAAAGAAAAGGAGCCTTTTTGATTCCTTTTCTCTTCACCCTCATTCAGTCACTAGACTGAGTCTTAATCTAGCAACATAAAAGAACAGAAACATTATTTTTTTAAAAAATATTACTGCCCCTGAATGGTGTGGCTCAGTGGATTGAATGCTGCCTTGTGCACCAAAAGGTCGCCAGTTTGGTTCTCAGTCAGGGCACATGACTGAGTTAGGGGCATGTGAGAGGTGATTGATAGATGTGTCTCTTGCACATTGATGTTTTTTTTCCTCTATTCCCCTCTCTCTAAAAGTAAATAAACAAAATCCAAAAAAAGAATAAATATCACCCACAGTGCCCTGGCCTGTGTGGCTGAGTTGGTTGGAGCATCCCCCCATAAACGGAAAGGTCGCAGGAGGTCTGATTCCCAGTCAGATTAGCCTCGGTTAATCTTGATTCTATTTCCTCGGTTGTGGGTTTGGCTCCCAGTTGGGGTGCTTAAAGAGCCAATTAATCAATATTTCTCTCTCACATCAATGTTTTTCTCCCTCTCTCCCCCGCTCCCTTCCCTTCTAAAATCAGTAAGTGTGTCCTCTGGTAAGGATTTAAAAAAGAAAAAGATTACCAGCTAACGTGAGATAAAAAGAGAAAGGCAGGGGAGAGGACTGAAAGGGACAGGAGAGGCAGTCTCAAAGAAAACGGCTGACATCATAGTGCCATGGGCTCCTGTAAGAGAGCACAGTCTGCATAACAACATTAGGCTGTAATAGGGCATAATAAGAAAATTCATGCATTTAGGCAATGGGGTTATGCTACATTTAGCACAGGTGCTTAAGGTTTGAATATGAAAATTGCAGCCAAGTTCCAGACTGTGATAACGCAGGTATCTGCAGATAGTGCCTAAATGGAAAGTAGGTTTAAAGTGAGTGTTAATCAGCTAACAAATGAATGTGTGATCAAAACATTATTTTTAAAAATTGTTATAATGCTTTTAACACTAAATTTGCTTAGCTGTCACTAAAACCAGGATGACAAAAATAAAGGCAATATGCCTTCTTTTTAAACATTACACTTTTACCTGTATCATGCATTCAAACTGGTACATACAAAGGCCCAATTCTGCCATACTTGGTTTAAAAAGTTCACGAAGTCTATAATCTTGCATTAATTTAACAAATACACAGAAAGCTTCTTCTTCTGGCATCTACATTAGCAGAAAAAAAGCAACATAGGTTAATTAGCAAAAAAAAAGCAACATAGGTTAATGTTCTGCGATATACAAATAACTAAAGTATAATTAAACTAAGTACCCATCCAACTATAAACACTGTTTTGAGTGGCCATGTGATTCAGTGTTAAAAGCAGCAGACTAGAAATCAGGTTTTAATCTCCCATTCCATCACAGCAAATAAAAAGTAAGACAAATCTAACAATCTCTGAGACTAATTCTCTCACTTGCCTAATTCATTAATTCAACCAATGAATATTCACTTAGAGCCAGATACTTCTCTCTCTCTCTAGGTATATACCAAAATAAACACAAATCTCTACCTTCAAGGAGTTCATACTCTCTAGTGGGGGGACATAGACAATACATGAAAAGAAATCAATTACTATTATGTGAGGTGGTGATGAGTCCTACAAAAATAAAAAAAAGTAGGGTCACGGAATGCTGGGGAAATCTATTTACACAGGTAGGTCAGGGAAAGTCCCTTGATAACATTTGAGCAAAAACTGAAGAAAGGAAGGGAACAACTGAGGAAACAGTTCTGGGGGAATAATACGAAGGCCTTGAAATAGAATCAAGATTGGTGTGCTCAAAGAACAGCAAATAGAGGACTACTAAATTAGGAGCAATGTTACAAGTGGTAGCTGGTTATGGAGGAGAAATAACAGGCAACTAAATTACACAGAGCTCTGGAGGCCACTGTAAGGATTTGGACTTTTTCCATAAGTGAGATGGGAGAGAAGTCTTTGAACATTCTGAGCAGAGGTCATGTGGTGGTGTAATGTGTTACAAGAACTTGTAAAATAAGTTTTCAAAGAATCTGTAATTTGTAACAACTTCACATTTAACATGTAACTAACCAGAAAATTACATCAAATAAGATAATGTAAAAGCTCTGTAAAGAGCTACATGGATATTCATAATACTTAAGCAAGTAATATTTATCTAAATTATTAAGTCATCTTTCTCAAAAAAATAAAATTTCCTAATACTCATTCACTCACATTATACCAGTGTGTTTCAAAAGAGAAAACCTCAAAGGATCTCTAGGCATTCTTCTAACTGAAGACTGCTTCTAATAGCAACATATTTTTCCCGGCCTTGCAACGACCATGACAGGAGCCAAGAGTAACTCTTGGCAAGATCTGTCCTTCCTTCTTCTTTCCTTCCTTCTTTCTTTCCTTCTTTCCTTCCTTCTTCCCTCCCTCCCTCCCTCCCAACACACATAGCCACAATTCTGCCGTGGAAATCATCCTTATTAATTCTATTAAGCCCTGCAACCCCATTGATGAACCTCATCCTATGTGATTCTATTCCTCCTTTACTCTAACCCTACATCCAACCTTCCCAAAATCTTTTCTGGAACTCATAAGCTGCCATCAGCAAAATATCCTGACTATATCCTCAATCCCTTTATCAAATGTTCTTTCGCCTTCTTCCTCTAACTGAAATCTGGCTTTCCCCTAGGAATTGTTCGACACAAAACCTGGCTCTCCTCTGAGGTGTTTTCTCTCTCTCAGCACAGGGAGAAGCCAGGGAACAGAGAGGTGTATGAGGTGTATGTCCCTTCTTGAATCTCATTGCCAATTCCACAGCATTAACTCCCCGTTCTCTCTGAAACACATACCAGCAGATATTACCCATTACTCTTCTTTTTGCAGCATCTATAAACCTCATTTTCATGAGGATTAAAATTCCCTGACCTAGCACATCTTTGACTTCCTTTGCTCCAATGATCTTGGCAGGCAGTTACTAGTTCAGGTTCTACAGCCACACCATCTAAGGTTCAAATACCACTAATAGCTATATGACCTTCTGCAAATTATTTAACTTCTCTGCTGCTCAGTTTTACCACCTATCAAATGGGTAAAATAATAGCATTTATTTCACAGGATGCAATGAAGGTTAATATACATAAAGTATTTACAATGACCTGACCTTGCAGTCCTCTCCTTTTTTTATAGAACACTACCTTAACACTGTTCCCAACTCTCTCCTGTGCTCACTTTGCTGTTATATGTATTCACTCACTTAAATCCACAATTACCTCATCTTCTCCCTCAGTTATAATTCCAGCTGCAAAAGTCCACCTTTGGATAAATTCAACTCTATACTACATTTACAGAGCAAAAAGTGGTTCGGTAAAATAAAAACACTTAACCATGCTGGCTGGTCTCACTTTGAATTCAGAACCCCAAATCTCAGTGGATCTTTAATGCTGTCTGGTATATTTTATTTCCCTAATTCAATCACTCATTCTAGACCATTTCAAACTTCCTTCTCTGTCCTCAAGCTTTCAACACCTCCTCCCCATTCATCTCTAAGTGCCTCTAAGCTAACGTCCTTGTTTGCTATTTCAATTTTTTTAATAGAAGCAATTAAAAGACAATTACCCCATTCTCGCACTCCCACACCATTCTACCTGCATCTGCACCCATTTTTATAGCCTTTAGTCTCTCTCCTCTGCCTATCAGCCTGGACTTTTCCCCCAATTCCCATCTCAGACTTCCACCGGTCCACTTACATCTTCACTTGGATCTCAAACAGACAGCTCAAACCACACTCCTAACTTCCTTCCCTGCCATCTCTTGCCCCATACTCTGCTCAAAAACCTTACGAATCACCGTTCCTCCTTTCTTTTACTCCACATCCAATCTATCAGTAAATCCTGCTGGCTCTATGTTCAACATACTTCAAGAATCAACCACTTTTTACCATAACACCTACTCCAAACCACCATCAAGAGAGTAGTCCATTGTTTGGGCAACTTCAAGAGCTTCCTCACTGATCACTCTGCTGCCTCTCTTGTACTTCCTTCCCAACAATCTATTCTCCATACATCATGGAGCTGCCAGAATGACCCTTTCAAATCATCATTTGGATCATTTCACTCCACTGCTCAAAACAAAAAAACCTCTCTAGGTGGCTCTCCGTATCCTCAATAAAAGCCAAAATCCTTACAAGGTTCTGTATGACGTGACCCCTTACTACTTCTCCAACTCCATCTCCTACCACTGCCTTCCCCTTTCCATTTCTCTCCTGATCCCTCATGCCAGTTTACAGTGGGAATGACTCAATTAATCTCCCTTTTTTTGTCTTACAAGAATTTCTTCTCTTGTAAACATATCAAAAGTTTCATGCCTCTCCTCTCTGTAACAGCACTGATATAGGATATGGGGGAGGTTTAAAAAAAATGGTGATTTAAAATAAGTCAAAGTGATTGTATAAAAGACCAAAAGGAGATAGGGGAAAAAAAAATCACTGGGTCCTTCTCAATAAGATTAAAACAATGGTCACAAAATGAAAAGAAGTGTGACACCAAATAAAATATAAATGTGAAGACCAATCCCCCAGTTGTTTTATAGTCATTTCTTTCTATCAGAAAGAAATCTGAACACTTGAGTCACAGTACTGTGCTGCTGTATACTTTCTCTGTGACAGTTAATAAGAATCCATGTTTTCTGAAAAAGTCTGATAAGGACAGTAGCTACCTAACTTAATAGGACTACTAAGATATACACAAAATACATACAACAAGGTCTGTCCAGAAGGTATCCAGCCATGCAATATGAAAAATAGAGACGTTTATTAAAGGAAATACAAAATATAAGAAACAGTGTATACAGGACAATGATACCTCAGTCCCCTTCAAAGCAGGCACCTGGGGACCTCACACAGTTCTCCCAATTGCCATCAGCTGCCCTGTTGTAGTTCCCTGAATCTCATCAATGATCTGAAATCTCTTGCCTTTCAAAGGTGACTTTAGTTTTGGGAAAAGCCAGAAGTCACAGGGGGCTGAGTGACCTGGGTGATTTGATATTTCCCAAAAAATTCTGCATGAGACGTGATGAATGAGGGGGCACGCTGTTGTGACAAAGCTGCCAATCACCAGCTGCCCACAGCTGTGGCCTTCTGAATCATCTGAATCGTTTGCACGGATGAATGTTCAAGCTTAACACAAGATTTGATTGCAGACTCATTGCTCTTCTCACTTAGTCATTTTGAATGTGACAGCCACACAGTACACATCCTCACTCAACAGTGTCTACAGCCCCCACACATGTGCATTCCAGTCCACTCTCCTTGGCTGCCAGGTTACATCAACATGAGGCAAACCATTCTCCTTATATTAACAATATCTGGACTTTTTCCAGACAGACTTCATATACCCAGAACTTTTACCTATTTTAATACAACATGTACTGAATAAACTAATGTTGCAAAAATGTTTCTAAACTAGTTATGGGAGGCAACATAGCATAGGGCATGAGAGAAGAAGCTTTAGAAAAAAAAGAGGGATTTTTGAAGCTGGTTACACTACACTTTCAAGCTTGTGGCCCTGAGCTATTAAATTAATGGTATGGTAGGTAGTATATGAGCTGCCATTGAAAACAACAGTAAATCAATTATTGAACAAAAGTGAGTATCACTCTCAGCACTACCTGCGGTGTCTTGAAGGAAAAAGTGTGATGGCCCTCCTGTATTTCCTAGAGAGCTAGGTCAGCTGTTGTAAGATTCATAGCTCAAGAAGAGAAAAATTACTCTTTAGATGCTCAACAGAAATGTTATTTTTGAGCTAATATGAAGGCAAAAGAAATAGAATTGTGACAAAAATTACTGGATTGATAATAACCAATACTAACCAATTACAAATTAGGAAAATCACAATTTTGTAAACAGCTATACTCCTAACATTAATATTTCTAGTTTTTTTAAATCATTGTTTATAACCTAATGTTAAAAATAGACAAATGTACTGCAATAGCAACTTCTGGCAGTTCTTCTATTACAAAACAAAGTAAAAATCAGTCATTTGTATTATAAACCAGTGTCTATGACATCAGGTTCTTGACACCCAGAAAAGAAATGTGTACATTCCTAATACTTACAGAGCTTTAATACTCAGGTAGAACTGCTGGCTACTTGAAGTAAAGCATCACTAAACACAGTTCCTGATTCCTACTCTGCTTTTATCTACCACGATATGTGACCTTGGGAAGTTACTAAACTTTTATTGCCTGTCTACTGCATGCCAAACACCATGCTAGGCTTTTACATGTATTATCTCATATAGCCTTCACAATCTGAAAATAGACAATATTACCCAATTAAAGCCAGAGAGAGGTTAAATAATCTAACCCAAGTTTATAAAACTCATTGTAGAACTAAGATGAAAAAGCCTACATAATTCAAATCAAATTATTTCCAAGGTTTCTTTTCAGACCATATTTTAATCTGAAACTAGGTACAGAGTATGATGGACTTTTAAAAGAAATTTTTTTTTTAACAAGACTGAAGAGATAATGCTCTATGGCATATCCCTTCAAAGCTGACTGACTACTGAAAACATCCCATCCATAACTCACTGCAAAATCAGTCACTGTCAATGGAAATATATATTATAACCCTGGGGTGACTGAGTACCACATTTTAGAGCCTATAACAAGCCCTCAGCTACATGACAAACAAATTTCAAATATAATTTCTAAAGACATGGTACAACATAAGACTTCATACCAACACTTTAATCATTTCCTCCTTGGTTAAAAAAAGATTACTTCTCCTTAAATATTGACATGTAAGTTAAGATTTAAAAGTAGATACAGGCTTGAGTAAGTACTGTGGTCCAAACGTAAATATCAAAAAGCTGAAATTTCATTTAGTGGCAGGATATAATTGTATGTTATTTTCAACACTTTTAGTAATCCTTTAAAGTGCAAACTAACTATTCCTAGTTAAATTATGCCTAGAGAAAAATACCCAGTATCAACTTACACTTAATAAAAATAAGGATGCTTTTTAAACTTTCCAATCCAACTTTAATAAGGAATTTAATTGAACATTTAACACTTGTACTAACTTACCTGCATAAGCAACAATCCAACTATAAATGCACTTCCTTGACAGTAACCAACCTCACGATCCACTAAAGAATATGCCTAAAAAGTAAAAAAATACTTTTCAAAATGCACATGATATATTATACCTTCTCTCTCTAAAAACCTAAAGATAATGAAACAAGTAAATTAAAGACCATGTATTATTTTAGAAAAGTTCTTGCTTGCTGTAGATGTTATCCTAGAAATATTTAAAAAGCAAAAGATTTATTACATAAAATTCTCTTGTGACAATTTCCCAATTAGAAATTAATAGCTCTTAAGAACAAAAAAAAGAAAGAAATTTGTACTTGAGAAACTAACAGAGCTTAAAAATCATTCAAAATGTATATCTGATAAAGATAAAACCAGAATAGGTTAATATAAAGAAAGCACTGGCAAAAATGAAATGGTTTAACAAGAAATCAATTATTTCACAGAGGTAACTAGAAGGTAAAGAAACTACAGAAAGGGAAAAGGAAATATTGAAGGAAAAATTACGGTTGTACACACTTTCAAGGGCTAAGAGCTCTTAACAAAACTCACCATAACAAGTAGAAAAATCTGCTCCCAGACTGTGAAATTCATAGAAAGTGAAGTATTCATTTTTATACAGGATCTCTCAATGTATAGTGATTACTATGTTATTTGATTTTGGCCAACTAACACCAAGCAATGTAATAAATCTTCTAATAAGCTCTCTAGATAGTAACATAGCATCAGAATTAAAGCAAAAATTATGCTAAAGCCAAATTTATTGCCAAAGCAACCGATTATTGAGGTGAGAGTGCATGCTTCATTGTGGAAATTACATAATTTCAACCTTCTGAGAGTTCACTTCATTTCAAAAAGTAAATAAATAAAACTTACCTTCATTACATTAAATAAAACCTCCTGTCCAAGGCTATCTTTTTCCTTAAAAAAATTGTGTTCAGGATAAGTTCTAGCAATGTCCCTTCGGATCAATTTTTCACAAGGCGAAGTCATCTTCAGGAGTTCTGAATACTGATCCTTAATCGGCATGCTTTGTGCACTGCATAAAAGTTGCCAAACTATTGCTCTAAAATGGTGGGGTATCCCTTTACGAACAAGTTCCTAAAAATAAAAGTAAAATTTTACAAAATGAATTAAGTTTCCCTACCTTGAAAGCCAAAGAAGACTTAACTGGGGGTTGGAGTGGAGTGGAAGACTTTATCAAATTTATAATTCACAATGCTACTTATATAAACTAGGGAACATTTTAACCAAGGCTAAGATTTGGCCCTTGATGCATCCTGTTCTGGTCAGGAGAGGAAGGGCTACAATATTGCAGACAAATTCTTGAAATCTCACTCAAAGTATGCCCTCTAAAGGCACTAGGGACTTGATAATCTGCAGAGCTGTGAATGGCAGTACAGTAATCATCAACTTACAAAGGGCTGTTATCAGGCAAAAAAAAAGGTAAAATACTGATAATTCAAGGATGTAGCATGTCACAACTTCATTTCTGAATCTATAAAATGATAGAACTTAATTTCTAAAATAATTTTTACCTATGTATTTCTACAATTACACCTCTATAACAACTGATATATACAAATCAAAACCTCTATGGACACAAATAAATGAAAATGTATAAAGGACACTTCTTTATTATAGTAGTTGGAAAGTACTTGAATCTGATTTTTAATCCACTACCAATCCATGCCCAATACCCTCTAGGATAAGGGGAAGAACTTCTGCAAAGAATATGAATACCTTAACTTGCTTTTCCTTCTTTTTGCGTACATCTTCCCATTCATTAACAATTCTTCCCCAAAGTATCCAAGAATCTTCTTCAAGGTGGCTGAGGTTGCTGGAGGCTGATGAACTTGATACAAGGGAGGAGCCACTGTTTCTTCTTGACCCATTTACAGATTTTAAAGACTTACTATCCGTCTCTAACAACCTAAAACATAATTAAAAATTGCTCAAGATCTAATCTCACAGTGATACTAAATGAAGTAATGACAATAATTAGAGCTTTGCTACAGCAATTTAGCCTGAGTTTTAAAATATGCATAATTTCAATAATATTTGGCTGGCATCTACAAAATCACTGCTGTATTCTCTATCTAAGCATAGTACTTTCAAAATCTGAAATAGTAAATTATGTTAAATATTTTAGTCTCATTAGTCCCATCATAATTTCCCTTTATCTCCACTGAAAATTCAAATTGGGAGAAATCTGATGAGACAAGTGGTTGGGAGGGCTTCAGGAAAAAAAGAAATTACTTGTACTTGGAAGAGTTGTAACAAATTCTATTGAAGAACTAATCCCATTATATTTACAATTTGTCCAGAGCTTAAAAAGTAAGGAAAGCCACACAAATTAACCAAATCCCTTCTCTTTTGTTTAAATTTTGCTTCACCTATGCATAACAAATCTGCCTAAAACAAAAAGTGTTTTGTTTGGCCCATGCAGTGTTTGTATAAAAAACTGATCAATACTAATACTAAAATTGGAAGATTTAATTTACTTCCTTATATACACATATACTTGTATTTATTTATAATTCTGGGTTCTCTTGTAAAATAAGATAGGGCGAAACTGGGCCCATATTCCTGCACAGAACAATAGCGTGTATGTAGTGAGTAGGAGCTAAAATCCACTCGGTCTCCCAAAACTCATTCCCACTAACAGCTATAATTTATCAATGGGCTTGCACTGTTAAACTGAGACCTCTCCCTGCTGGCCTTTGACTTTGCAACCCCGTTTTTGGTCTCTTTCTTATCTGTACAAAGATGGGAGAAGATAATTTAGAGATCCATTCCATGACTCACCACAATATCAAATCCATTATTTCTTTCACATATACACAAACTATAAAAAAACACTGGAAAATGTGGCTCTATCATTATAAATATGTAAATTGTTTGTCATTCAAAATAAGGGCTCTAAAACATCTATTTGTGTATTGCTCATGGCTCCTACTCACTTCCAGTAAGTCCTTCAGAAAGTGACGTGTGTAGGGTACAAGAAACACTATACTTATTTATGCTATATTAAAAAATAGAACAGAAAAAAAGAATTTGGGTCCAACACTATTTAGCAGATTACACAAAGAAATATCCTTTGCAAGAGAGATTTGTATCTTACTCATCTTTATGTCCCTAAAAGCATTTAGCTCAGTGTAAAGTACATAAAATATTAACTGAATTGAAATAAAATGAAAACCCCCATATTTAAAAAACCTCCAAATTCAAGATACGTCATATTCAATAACAATAATATGAATTAAACAACTATTATCCTTATTCCTGGGGTGCTTTGATACATTTTCACAGCAACAATAATTTAAATATAAGTAATTTTATATATAATTCTAAACCCTAAGAATTCCAAATGGAATAGAGAAACTGTAGTAAAATAACCTGAACCCAAGGTCTTCATTTCATTTATTTAGTGAAATCTTGCTATATGTCAAATAACTAAACTGTATCAATTCCATTAATACAGAGACATTCAGTTTAAAAGAATATAATGATATTTCTTAATCTAAACCTAAGTTTGAGATAAAATGGGCCTACATAAATGTAAAGGTACTTAAAGAGAAGGCTTTTAGGGAGTCAGAAAGGTCTCAGATTGCCAAATTACAACTCTCAGGATAAACAAGAAATCCCAAGTGAAAATCACGTGTGGATTAGAGAAAAGGGTTAAGCAATTCACCTTCAGAGGAAACTGAAATAACATATAGACATATACAAAACCATGAGAAATATTTACAAATGAAACATTCCAAGACATCACATTAAAGATATTCTCCCTGCCTTAACTCATTTGTGTCACTTAGACATAAATGACTCAAAATGGGTAATATGACTGTATATAAAAACAAAAACTATAAAAGTCCTTGAAAAAAGCAAGAAAAAGTCTTCATATTTTGAGAAGACAAAATTTTTTAATGGGACAAAAGGAAATACTAACCAAAAAAGAAAGAAATTGTTTAAAAATTAATTGGACTTCAGCCCTGACTAGGTAACTCAGTTGACTGGAGCATTCTCACAGACACTGAAAGGTTCTGGGTTTCAATCCCAGTCAGGGCATGTAGCTAGGTTGCAAGTTCAATCCCCAATCAGGGCACATACAGAAGGCAAGTGATCAATGTTTCTTTCTCAAATTGATGTTTCTCTCTCTCTCTCTTCCTCTCTCTCTCTAAAATCAATAAACACATCCTTGGGTGAAGATTAAAGGGAAAAAATGGACTTTGAACTTAAAATACTCTGTCCTTCAAAAGATACCACTAAGAAAATAAAAAGGTGAGCCACAGACTGAAAAAATATATTTTATATAATATATATAATATATATATATATACACACCTATACACACACATACACACACATATATATATATGACAAGATTGGTACCCAGAATATATGAAGAGCTCTTTTTTCCCCAAATATTTTACTTATTTGAGAAATAAAATGAAAACCCCCATATTTAAAAAACCCATTTCATTTTATTGAGAAACGAAGGGAGGAAGAAAGGGAGAGAAACACAGATGTGAGAGAGAAACATCCAGTGGTTGCCTCTTGTACGGAGGCCAACCAGGGACCAAACCCGTAAGTCTTACAACACATATAAGACTTGCATCTAGAATGTATAAAGAACTCTTACAACTCAATAATAAAAAGACAACTCAATTTAAAAATGGGTAAAGAATCAGAACAGGCATTTCTCCAAAGAAGATATACAAGTGGCAATAAGCATATAAAAAGATACTCAACATGATTAGTCATTAGGAAAATGCAATTCAAAACTGTAGTGAGCCACCACTTCACAACCACTAGGATGGCTATAATCAAAGACAAATAATAAGTACGGGTGATAACAGGGAGACATACAAACCCTCAGACACTGCTGACGGGAATGTGAAATGGTAAAACCACTTCAGAAAACAGTCTGGCAATTTCTTATATGGTCAAATACAGAATTACCCTATGAACCAGCAATTCCATTTCTGAGTATATAGCCAAGAGAAATTAAAATCTACACAACAGAGATTCATGGCACCATTATTCATAATAGCCAAAAGGTGGAAACTACCCAAATATCCATCAACTACTGAATGGATGAAAAACACTGGTAAACCCATAGAATGAAATATTGTGCAGTCATAAAAAGAAATTAAATACTGATACATGCTATAACACAGATGAACCTTGAAATATTATGCTAAGTGGAAGAAGGCAGTCACAACAAGAAACATGTTATGTTAGTTCAATTATATTAAATATCTAGAACACAGAAAATAGATTAGTTGTTTCTGAGAACTGAGTGGGAGTGAAAAGGAGCAAGGAGGGAATGGCAGTGGCTGCTTATAGATACAGTTTCTTTTAGGGGGTATGAAAATGTTCTAAAATTGCTTGTGGTGATGGCTGAACAACTATGAATATATGAAATACCACTGAATTGTACACTTTAAATGGGAGAATTGCGTGGTGTATGAATTATAGCTCAATAAAGCTGTTATTTTTTTTAAACAAAGGCAAAATATGTCTATGGCAGCAATTTCCAATCAGTGTGCTGCAAGAATTTTTAAAATATGCAATACCTGACTAATTAGTTAGGGGCACTGACCTCTTTTCCCTTAGACTGTCAAATAAGAAAATGACAACAGCCAACACAACGACAGACGTCCATGTGATGAATCAAAATTATACCTATTTTTTATTAGATCAGCAAAGAATGTATTTTTTTTGTGTGCCACAGAGTTTTAGTAATTAGCTCATGCGTGCCGTGAGATGTAAAAGGCTGAAAATCACTGGTCTATGGCAATAAAAATCTGAAAACAGGTTTCAGGAGTAGGGTTGCTAAAAAGGACACAAATGAATTTTCTCAGATGATGGGAATTCTCTAAGATAGAAACTGTCTACATGTTAATAGGCATATGGGTTATAAACAGGTATATAGGTATTTGTCAAAACTAAAACTGTACACTTAAGAATTGTGCATTTTTCTGATTATAAACTACATATCAAGTTTATAGAAATTTATAATAAATATTTCTCTAATGACACAAGGGTAGTGAGAATTAGGTGAAAAATGACTGCTTTTTATTACTGTAAGTCTTTAAGAACTTTCTGAAAACCAGGACTACTACTTTGAAAAGAACTGGTGTTTTTTTCTTAAATATAGTAAGTGTATACATTTTGTTAAGAAGAACGGTATAAACATTACTTCATTCCTTCTTTTTAAAATTTTTGGTCATTCTAGCAAATTTTAGAATTTCCTAAAGAAAAACTTGGAAATTTTTTTCAATGTTATATAGATATATAATGAAGTCCTGTCTGAAAGAGTTAGAACATTTTCCAGTAAATGTTAATTCTTGAATTGATACAACAAATATCTCCCCAGTGAGCTACTCAGTCATGGTGTGCCATAAAAGAATTCACATATTCATTAAGAATATAAATAAACATATTTGTATTTATAATTACACATTCTATAAACTCTATACAGTTTTTTTAATATAGGAAGTGTATAGTTTATAGAATGTATGGTTAGAATCATGTATTTTTATTCCTTATTGCTAAAAGCTGTAATGAAACAAATCAGGAAGACTCCTAAAGAGACTGTCACTTAGTTTCAAAATAATTAAAATATTCCGACATGGTAGTAGAGTGTGCACACTGCCTGAAAAAATTAACAGTCTCCAAAAATTTGAGCCTGGCAACTGGGAAAACGTTAATGCAGCATTACCGTTTATTAGCAATGAGGGCTAATAAGTTTATTCAAGACTTAACTTATTTTCCTCTTCCCAGAGCACATGTGTTCACTGACTTGCATGGATTTATTATGATAAACCTACCTTCCTGCCTCATCACAATTTCCTTATGACTAATACAAAAAGAAATGTACCAGATTAAAGGAAAAAATGCTGACACAGAAGGAATAGTCTATGA